AAGAGCTCTAACTATTCTTTCTCCAAGTTGTTCGTGATGCTATCAAAAAGAAAGGCAAAATCTTCCTCGTTAAGCTCAGAGACACGTAGACTCTAAGGGCAACCTAACCATACTGCTCGGGCAATAGAACAGGACATAAAACAATGAAAAACAGATTCCCTTTCCACCCCACACATTGGACACTCCAAGTCTATGTCCACACATTTTTTGTGGAGGTTGTCCTTTGTGGGAACAACATTCCTGTAAGCACTCCAGGTAAGCAGACGTACCTTCTCTGGGATATCCAAGGACCAAATCCGATTGCCACCAAAGCTCGATGAGGATACGGATGGGCCAGCATGATTTCTGCTCAAATCCATAGCTCTGTGGTACCCAGATCGAACTGAGTAGCATCCATGTTTGGTAAAATTCCACATCCAGCTGTCCTCCCTTCCCATCCAGCTTAAGGGTATAGCTAATATCAATCGGGCTTCATGGGCATTGAAGGTCTCAAGCACTAGATCCCTCATCCATGAGTTTGTTTCTTCATCAATTAGCTCGCATACAAATTGGATCTCACAACCCACAGGGCGAGGAGATTGAACATAGAATTGTGTGTTACCAGGTAGTCACGGATCATCCCAAATCCTTGTATGTCGGCCATTACCGATCAGACGCCGACAACCCTGGTTTAGTAATTCAATTGAGTGCCAAATGCTTAGCCAAGTAACACTGCAAGGGGATTTCAGTTCTACACGAAGAATAGTCGAACGAGGAAAGTACCTTGCCTTCATAATTCTCGCTGCTAAAGAGTTCGGATGCATTAACAGCCGCCATACCTGCTTCCCTAGCATAGATAAGTTAAATTCCCGCATAGCACAGAAACCCAATCCTCTTGATTTTTTCGAGATTGCAAGCTTCCTCCATTCCATCCAGTGAATCTTATGCTCATCCTCTCCTCCTCCCCACCAGTAACGATTCATAATAAGCTCTAGATCTGTACATATGGCCTTCGGTAGCAAAAAAAGACCCATCACATATGTTGGAAGAGATTGCAGCACTGATTTTATGAGCACTTCCCTGCCAGCTCTAGATAAAGGTTGTTCTCTCCATTCAGCAATGTGCGCCCAAAATTTACTCTTCAAAGTTGAAAAAGTGGCAATGCGCGATCTACCTATATCAGCAGGGAACCCAAGATATCTCCCCGGACTGTCTACTTCCTTTATGCCCAATATATGTGAGATACGGCTCCTCGCCCTTGGTTGTACATTACTACTGAAAGTGATGGAAGATTTTTGTAAATTAATAACTTGGCCAGATGCTTGTTCATAAGCTTGCAAGATGGCCATTAAATTTGCGGCTTCTGTTTCAATGGCGTGGAGGAAAAGAAGACTGTCATCAACGAAGAACAAATGAAAAACTTTTGGTGCACTCCTACAGATTTGGATGCTATGCAAACTCCTACTATTATCTGCCTTGTGAATCATGGCTGTGAGACCTTCAGCACAGAGAATGAACAAGTAAGGCAATAGTGGATCGCCTTGTCTCAAGCCTCGAGATGGGATGATCTGTCCTACCTCCTTACCATTTAGTAGAACCTCGTATGTCACTGATGAGACACATTCCATGATCAATCTGATCCACCTTTCCGCAAAGCCAAGCGCGTGTATAACCTGCTCCAAGTAAGGCCATTCAACCCGGTCAAAAGCCTTACTCATATCTAACTTTATAGCTTGCCAGCCTCGCTTCCTCCTCCCCTTGTTCCGCATATAATGGAGTATTTCATTAGCAACCATAAAATTGTCAGTGATCAATCGATTTGGCAAGAAAGCACTTTGTTCTTCGGAAATAACTTTCTAAAGCACCAGCTTAAACCGATTTGCCAAGACCTTTGCTAGAATCCTGTAAATGACGTTACATAGGCTTATCGGACGCAAGTCCGCCATTGTTGTAGGTTCATTACATTTCGAAATAAGCACAATATGAGTGAAGTTCAGCCCATGTGGAAGTACCCCTCCATTGTTCAAGAAATCTAAGCATGGCTTGACAATATCATCTTTTACAATACTCCAAAAACACTGGAAAAAACTAGGTGATAATCCGTCCGGCCCGAGGGCCTTCGTAGGATGCATTTGATAGAGTGCCTCTGTTATATTTGCCTCCATGAAAGGCTGGAGCAAGAAGTCATTAGCTGCTATTGTCACTCGAAGGCATAAACAACTAGTTACTTGCTCAATACTGCTAGGGGCGGTTGACGAAAACAGTGAAGAGAAATAAGTTGTAGCAATAACCTGCAGCTCTTCAAATTTATGCTTCCATTCACCATCTGCATCCATCAACTTCCCAATTCTATTCATGTCCCGTCTTCTAGAGGCTCTCTTGTGAAAAAAACGTGTGTTTTGGTCACCTTCCTACAACCAAATTTCACGTGAGTGCTGTTTCCACATAATCTCCTCTCTTTCTAACCATTCTTCCGTTTCAGCAATCACCTTCTGTTCTTCCTCCTGAACAGTTATTGAGAAAGGCTTATGTCTCAGAGAGTCCAAGCTCTCTATACATTGCTTTACCCACTTCTGTACATGGCCAAAATGTGAAGAATTCCATCGTTGGAGGTTCGTAGAACAAAGGCGCATCTTTTGCAATAAGGAGGACCAATCACCCATGCCGATGAAAGAAGCCCAGCTAGATTGAACTGTTTCCTGACAGCTGGGGTCTCGAAGCCACATCTCCTCAAATCAGAATCTCTTTTTGCGCCTGGTTTGTCTCTGGTAATGGTGCTCAAGTGTGATCCATAAAGGAGAGTGATCAGAGGATAGATGAGGAAGTAGCCTGACTTTGGCTCTAGGAAATAAAGTTCTCCATCCGAGCGTAGCTAACCCTCTATCCAACTTTTCCTTAACACCTCCTCGGCGCCAAGTGAACTGACCACCAACCATCTGAACTTCAGCCAAATCACATGCATCCACCACCTCTTTAAAGCCATGTAGCATCCAGTTAGGTTGAGAGGTACCGCCTAATTTCTCATCTAAATGTAAAAGATCATTAAAATCCCCACTGATCAACCATGGCAAAGCAGATTGAGCAGCTAAGTCTCGCAATAATAACCATGATCGCTTACAATTATGCCTCTCAAGATGACCATAGTAGCTTGTAAATCGCCAGTGACTGGATCCCATGCCTTCTACCTCCATGTCTATATGATTTTGTGAGTAGGATAACAATGATAATTGAATATCAGGATTCCAAAGCATAGCCAATCCTCCGCTACGCCCCACCCTGTCCACAACAAAACAGTGTCTGAATCCAAGTCTCCTTCTAACTTTCTCCATACCCCTTATATCCAGTAGAGTTTCACACAAAAACACTACTGCAGGCTTCTTGAGCCCCACCAATTCGATGAGGCAGCGAACCGCTCAGGGGTTCCCAAGCCCCCGGTAGTTCCAACAAAAGATACTCATGGTGAGCGGCAGGCCTGTGTAGCAGCGCCCGCCGATAAAATAATAGCTTTTCCATCATCACTTATGCCTTTCCCACGCTTCTCACTTCCAGTTTGCCCACTTTTGATAATCAAAGATTGCTCATCCTTTCGCTTGACTCTTCTTGAAGATAGCGAAATGGGTGAGTTCTGGTGGCGTCGCTCCCGAGCATCCTTTTTCCAAGATCTATTCTTGGAGGGATTGGTATTCTGGGCAGAAGAGAACATAAACAATGGGCCTGTAGCCCCTGTCTGGGTTAGGGGGATGGGCCCGAAGTGGCTTGGGCTTTGCTTGTCTGCTACATTGTGTGGGGTGTCTAGCCCAACCGGCTCATAGCTCTTAATGAGTAGCATTTCCCGCCCATGATCTAGCTCCATTGAAATATTATTGTTAACCACAGTAATCTCATTATTAGTGTTTGTAGGATCCATTAAAATCCCTTGAGTCTGCTGCCTTTCCATATGAGGGCCTAATTGCTCCGAGCTAGAATAGCGCTCATCAAGCGCATTTCTCTCAAACTTGAGATTAGCTCCCATATTGGTATTTTCAATTTGCCCAACCAAATCTTCCTTATTTCTCCGCCAGTCATGGCCATTAAAATCAATCATATCTCCATGGGGACCGCGAGTTTCCGATTTTGAGTGGTTTTCCATTTTTGGGTTCTAGCTCCTCCACTGTGGCTCTTCTCTGACGAGGTTGCCAGAAGCATCGCGCAGCCATCTCCCAGTATTCGCTGCTGCCCCTTGTTTTCCTCACTTTGGCATGGATCGGAGGCTATCATCATAAGGATGCTCTGTCAACCCCGTACTTTCCATCTCCAGTCCCAGCTCACAATCTCATTCAACATGGTCCAACATACCACACCAATAACAGAAATGTGGAAGTCGCTTATACTGGAAAGAGATCCAGAGTGGCCCATCCTTCAAAGAAAGCTTCATACCCTGACGTAAAGGCTTCCTTGAGTCAATACAAACCCGCACACGAATGAACTCCATACCCCACACCCGTCCATCCCTCGCATCCACCTCGAGGAGTCTTCCAAGTTATGCACCAATCCTTTCACCCGTTGCTTTGGTCATGCGTCCTGGTGGTAGGCCATAAATTTGGATCCAGAAAGGAATCTCAACAAGATCCTCTTTTGCCACCAAGCCAGCTACAGAAATGGTGAGCCGACTCTAGTAAGATAAGCCGACTCTCCTAACAATCCTACAACTCGAGCTTTGCGTCCTGCAAGGCATTTAATGACCCCCATCGGCTATTTTTGAGCATGGGGTTATAAATATGGTTGGTAAAAGATCTGAAAGAGGTTTAGAGAGCATTGTATTGAATATCTTTACCTACCTACATGAGCTTTAACTTGGGTTTTTGATATTTAAGAGATCTTTACTTGTAATCCTCTTCTTGTTCTATTTGTGAGTGATCTTAGAGGTGTGATTAATCCTTTAAGAGTGATTTGTAGATAGGATTCTTGGGGTTTAAGTGTATAGGGGTGAGATTGAGAGAAACACCATTTTTCTTGTAACAGGATTGAGTGGTTCATTTAAGTCACCCTTGTTGTTGTTAGTGGAGAGTGTGGAGGAAATCCTTGGTAAGGGTCCAGGTGGTTAGATCAAACCTCTATAAAATCATTGAGCAAGTTCTTCTTCTCTACTCTCTTTATTTTTGGTTTTGTAGTTGCAAAAAGGAGAGAATTTTTGGAACTCCAATTCACCCCCTTTTGGAGTACATTGAGTCAACACACTCAAACTTTTAAGATGAACTTAAATACAAATATCTAGATACTCAACTCGGGCTCATTAACAGGTTTATCCATTAACTTAATTACAAAAAGGTTTCATTGATATCCAGGCAACATTATAGCTAACAGATGCATGATAAAAGATGCCATGAAATGCAAGCTTTGAAAGAAGGGGAAAAAACAAGAAAAATGCAGTTTAGTAACAGCATATACAAAATAAGATCAAATGAATACTGTTCCCAAATAACTATTAATGTTGCCCTTGAATTAATTGTAACTTTTGTAATGCTTTGTTATTTGAGAATGAGTGAGAATAGGCAAAACCAGGATTCTTTTCACCGACACGGAGATTTGCTGCAAATAATGACACAACTCTTAAAAATTTTTCTTATTAAAACTATGATCTTTGTGATTTTATTAATTAAAATTATCATTTTT